CCACGAAACAAAAATGGGATATCTAGGTAGGTCTTATAGGCATGCCTTTCCTCCCAATTAATGCCTTTATGCTCCACGATAATTTGTTGTATTATCTGCATTCCATATAGGATAAACCTAACCATATCATATTAATTTCTTAGCCATCTAATTAAACTAGCTTGGCCACTACTTGGAAGCAAAATCAAGCTCTCCTTAAGTCAACTATTAACCGACAGTCCCAATAATTATGGACTATCTCAATCGGAAAGTCCATGTATTTCAATAGATAAGGATGAATAAAATTAATTCAGATAAATTATTTATCTAAATTAATTATAATTTGAGTAAAATAGTTCAGTTTAATTAGTTCATTGAATCAATTAGTTCAAAATATTTGATTTAATTATTTTTTAATTAATTCTCGGTTTTAAAATTTTTGAATCAATTCATCTGAAAACCCAACTTAATATTTTATATATATTAATATATATAATATTTTTTATATATTAAGAAGAATTGATAGTAAACTTAATTAATAATATATTTAAAATATATTAAGAAATTATATATACTTTATAAATTATAATTATAATAATTTAATATTAATTATATATATTTATTTATAAATCTATATTACTATGAAATTATAAGTTATATATTTTAAATGATATAAGTTATATGTTAATATTATAATATGTGATAATAAATATCTTACATATTAATACGTTATAATATTACACTTTAGTAATATTTTATAATATAAAATATTATAAATATACATATAATTATATAAATATATTTAATTTATACATAAGCATTACTATAATTTATAATAAATTTTATTTATATGATTATATTTAATAATTTTATTAATTATCACCTTAGATTTTATAACATATTATTTATAATTAATTATTATTTATACAAACTATGATATAAAATATTATAACATATAAGTTATGTCATTAATTTCATATATATATAATTATGGAAGAAGTTTTTAATTTTAATATTATAATATGTAAAAGAAAAAATGATAAACTTTTAATTTATTAGTTTAAAATCAAACCAATCAAATCAACTTTATATTTGATTAATTTGATATTCTTTTATATTTAATCGATTTTTTAAAAATAATTATTTAATATTTAAATATGATAAACCAATCTACTCAATCCAACTATCTGCTTTTCTTTACCAATAGTCATTTACATCTCTGTGATGCTCTGGCCACTGAATCAATGTCCAGTTTTAGCACCCATTTTTACATTCTTGCATCGTATGGGTGCTTGCTCAAGTCCAGTAAAAAGAGGGCCTAATCATTTTTCAGGGTGAGTTGCTGTTGAGTTACTGAAGCTATGGTCCAATTCCAGAATGTTCCTCTCGCTTTTCTGATGTCTAAATATCCTCGTGGAATCTTTGTATTTGGCTTGTATGATCAAATTTCTTTCCCATCCTCCTCCCTCCTAAGAAAACGGCCTGTAGAGAATTTTTATTCTTTAATTTGAAGCACTTCCGGTATCGCCTCTGCAGCTCTGCTTTAAATAGTCTAACCAGGGCTCCCTGAAGCGCTTCAGATACAAAAACTTCTAATTCTTGCATTCTGATTACTAGAGTTCACTGAGAACACACTCTGCTGGAGTACAATTGATAACATGACGGGTAACAAACACTTTTCGATAAGTTTCACACTGACAACCTTTCAAAAGAAGGTTGGAATAGGATTTAACTAAAGATACAAATGCTTGCTTAATGAAATGTGATCAATGTATCAAATCCTAGCTTGCATACATGGGTCATTTAGCCTGTATCAGGACAAAGAAGTCAGGGTTTTGCTGTTGGTAGCATCTTTCTTGATTCTCATATTTGCTACCAAGAAAATTATTCTTGAATCTTGGCTTTGGGAGTTAAAGAGGCTTGCCGTTTTATATATGGAAGGATTTCTCACGGATAGGCTTAATCTGTAAGTATTCCACACGTCTTTGCATTGTATTAAAAATAAGCAAGTATATTGAACCAGATCCCTAACAATTAATATTCGGAGCCGCCTAGGAATTGATTGTTTGGCTCCTTCAGTGGCAAAAACTAGATGTTTCTTGTTGATCCGTTACGCAACTCAACCTTTGTCTCTTTCACCAGTTTTTTCCTTTACAAATGTATCAGAAATTCTGCATCTCTGCCAAATATTAAACCATGGTACTATGCATGACACAATTTATGCTTCGAGCAGGAAAGGGAAAACAAAATGGTGGCTTGTTGATGACTTGGTGTGTATAATTCTTGCAAAAACCGTCTTGATGTGATGCAAGTTGGCTTGCTTCCAAGAGTCAAATACGATGATCCCTTTGATAGTTCTTTAGTTTTCACAGCAAGAGCGCCTATCATTGGCAACATTTGAGGGGAAACAAATGAGAATAACAGGTTGATGCTTAGATTAAGTTTGAAATCGACTTCAAGAAGAACCATATCTCATGCTTGCTTATTTCTCAAGTACTTGATTATTTAAACTGAAGACATTCCACAAAGATGTCATTGTCAGATTAAATGGCATTGCTTTTGTCTTTTGTTTTATTTACTTTGATCAATGATTTAGCAGCGAGAAGCAAATTTCAGACTCACCCAAACATAATTTTCGATAAGGCTGTTTATGTTATTGCTCTTTTCTATGCAGGCAAAAAGAGCCAATGGAAAAGAGCATATGATGTCAAATGTGCAGGCCAAGAGGATTCGAATTTTTGGCTCTAAACCCTACTTGGTCTCTGCAAACAAAAGGCGCAAAGCGCAAAGAAGAAACAAAAATGAGAAGAAAGCAAAACTTTTGAATCTCAAATGTGTTTTTTCTCCTTTTAATATTACTAGGAGCAGGGCAAGACAACTCTTGGAATAAGTTGAAGACAATTTTGATATGGTTTATAAACTTCAATATTTTGCCAGAACCCTTCAATGAAGTTTCTTAGCAGCTTGCTTTAGATAATCTGGGTGAATCAACGAGAGATTATGTTTCTAAACTTGTGGATCCCGTAAGTTACATGAACATCATTGACTTTTATATGATTAGATCATACCTAAGAAAGCAGACAATCTGTAAGACCAGAAGAATTAGTATTAAAGATACAATGAAGGCAGCTTTGATGGCTAAAAGAGGATCGTTTAAAATATTGCAGGGACTTATATCATAGTCTGTCATTCCATTGTTCCCTCAAAAGGGTTCAAAGGGTTTTAGAAATATTTGATAAATACAAAGTCTGTTTCTTAAACTGTAAGGAGTAATTCTGATGTAATTTCTTATCTTGGAATCAACTCCAATGGTCCTCTCTGTCTTTTTCCACTCCAGACATATACCAAGTTCTGTCCTCCAAGTTATTTCTATTTCCTTCATCGATCTGATAAATTTGCTGATGACTTTCCCACAATGATCTGCCTTCAAACTAAGCTTGAAATTGGGGCATTTTGTTGTGGTTAAAAGCTCCTATGGTGGTGAACAAGTGACCATCAAATAAAAGTAATCAGTAATCAGTCCTTTTCCCTTTTCTTTCCTGGACCTCTTAAATTAAACACCAAAATTCAAGTAACAACGTATTGTAAGGCAATAAAAGCTAAGCCATCTGAGTCTTTCCTAGTTGTATGTGATCTTTCAATACGGCTAAGGGAAATATGCTTCTTTGTCAACTTGTAAACAGAATGCATTGATGCTGACATCCAATGACTCAGGAGTACTTAAGTAATATTGGAATGCATGCAATGCCATGCATAACTTCGCATAAAATAATGTATATATGGAAGGACATTAATTCCTTCTTACTGTCAAAACCAGATTGAAAGATATATATGTTCCCATTATATTAGGTCACTTTCACTGAGAGAATTGCTCTTATTGCTGGTAATTGTGGAGGATATTTGCTGGCATCTGCTGTATCTGTTGCTTTACTTTTAAGATTTAAGATTTTATTACTGTGAGCATTACAAGGAAATTATTGAAAGTTCTGTTAGCAGAAAATCCAAATCTTTGATTATCTACTGGAGTATACATTGCAACTTCAAGGAAGATCAAACTGAACATGGCCGTGAACCTTGTAAGAATCGTTTTCAGACCTCTTACCTTCAACTAAGCTGCATCATTATCGTATATCCTCGGTCCAAAATGTCAAAGGGCATCATCGTCTATCAAATAAAACCCTGCACTGGTAAGAAAAGCCAAGAATTACATTAAGAACAATTGGTTGCTTTCAAAGGAGTGCTAATATTCTTCCCTAGTTTTCTTCAAAGCCCCAAAGGAATGACTTGCTGCAGTCAAGACTGCTGATTTCTTATATTTAATCTACCCATTAATGACAGGCCAATGCAACAGTACTTTGGTCCCAGAATCTGTAAAGTGTTGGTTGAAAGTTATGATAAGAACTAAGAAAGATTGGAAAATATCATTATTTAAATAGTTGCAACCAATCAGTGCGAGGATGTTACCATGTAGAATTATCCATGGGTTTTCGTTGAAAACGTAACCTATCTAGCAGATGCCACATTATGGGCAATTCCAAAAGCTTTCCTTATTCATGAACCTTAAAATAATGTATTATTTCATGCAGCAAGCCTCTAATCTTAACATAACCAATGAACACGAGATGAGACCTGTATTATCTTTAAGTTTATATTGATGTTTGCCACTCCGCAGAAACAAATTGCACGGTAAGCAACAAAGAAAGCAGCACATTTTGTAATAAAAGTAGCAATAAGATTTTTCAGGAGAGGAAATTGAAGCAGAGAAAATAAGCTTATCCTTTTCATCTGCATGAAAGAGTAGTTACCATGCATGTAAACCAAATACAAAGCACCAAATCGGAATCCAACTACTAGATAGCGACGACTATTTATTTATGATTATTGTATATGGTGGTCTCTCCAAGAGCTGCACAATTTTATTTATTTTCTTGTTTACCACCCTGTACAAATTCTAGTATAAATACCAAGTTAAAGGATTCAAAATATCTTCCCCCCCCCCCTTGTCCCACAAAATGTATGGAATGAACAGGCCTAGTGCTTCCCTCCCACCAGGGTTCAGATTCCATCCTACAGATGAAGAGCTCATCATCCATTATCTAAAGCAGAAGGCCTCGCCTTCATCAAATCCGCCAATCTTAATAATAGCTGATGTCAATATCTACAAGTTCAATCCGTGGGAACTTCCCGGTACTCCTTTCTTGTCATCTGATCTGATATCTTATTTCGCATTCATCAAATATTTGTTCATTCAAGCCATTTACTTTGTTTCATGTTTCTTTTGATTATATTTAACAGATAAGGCTTTTTTGGGGGAAAATGAGTGGTTTTTCTTTAGTCCAAGAGATAAAAAGTATCCGAATGGAACACGTCCGAATAGAACAGCTGCATCTGGCTACTGGAAAGCCACTGGAACCGATAAACCAATCATCAGCTCTGTTGGATCTCAATGTCTTGGAATGAAAAAAGCTCTTGTATTTTACAAAGGACGTCCTCCGAAGGGTGTAAAAACTGATTGGATGATGACCGAGTACATGCTTCTTGATGATTACTTTTCATCCCGAAGGCCAAAAGAATCCATGCGAGTAAGTTACTTTCTATCCCTCAGGGAAAGACGGATATGCAAAGAAGATTTATGGTTAGCTATGAAATCGAAATAAGTTTCTTAAAACTTGGTTAATGCACAAAAGCTTGATGGCCAGGGTTAAAGCACGGCTAAGTGTTCTTCCAGGACATGCCAAAAGACTTAATTGGCTTTAAATTTGCTTAACCTCATGTATTCTTGGATAGATGATAATCCAAGGAAACTTTTCAGAAAGTTACGCAAACCTCCTTAGAATTTTGCTTGAAAAGAAAGCATTTCAAACTTTCATCTGCCACTCTTAACTTCAATCTCTTCTGTCTTCTTGTTTCAGTTGGATGACTGGGTTCTATGTCGAGTCCGGCAGAAATGCAAGGTTCCCCAACAACTCGGAGGAAGAAACTATAGCAGTTCTAGCTGTTCCCCTCCATTCTCCGTGGGCACTTACAAGGTCAAGAGATGACAATAGAGAACACCAAATATTCCGCATGGAAATCATAAGTTACCTGCAGAGTATCAAATGTCTCCCCTGGAAAGTGAAGAACTAGATGAAAAGGGACAGATAATGGATTTCCAAGAAGGCTCTCCAGAGTACTCACTTTCCAACTCTCCAAAAACCATTGATTCTAATGTCAGAGACGTGCTCAAATCCATTGAAAGGGAACTCTCCGTTGGAGCTTTGGATGAATTGTTGCCATCACAACCAGAGAAACGATTGAAGGTTTCCGCTCCAGATAACAGTCCTGGCAACGGATCCGTTTTCCAAATTTCTTCCCCCGCCCCATCCGCTTCATACCAACAGCATTTCTCAGAGTTCTAATCCATTACAGCAGTCCCCTCCCCTGAGGCGGCTGAGGGTTTCATATCAAGGAAAGGAACTATTCATGTTCTTACACTAACAATAATAACGTTTGATTTGCTTCAACATACAGAGTTAAAGAGTAAAAGATACTTCGATTTAAAAAGCAATAAAAGAGAAAGAAGAAAATGGCAAGTGAGATTTTGTTGTTCCAAACAGTTCTCCAATGCTTCAAAAGAGGTGAACCATGTATGATTTCGGTTGAATGAAGAAATTTCATGTTTCAAATGACAACTGGACATGGCTGGAACACTATATGATCCCACGTTGCTCTCATATCTAAATAATGAAATGATTCTCTTATATAATGTGCGCGTATATATCCTACTTAGTATGATGTGTGGATATATATATATATATATACACATTTAAGCCATTAAACATGATAAAGTCAACCCTCTAATGAGTTTGAGTATTTATAGACACTTTTAAAATTAGTTAAAATAGTTTTATATTTTTTTATTTAATATATTATTTTTATCAAATTCAAAAAAAATTAATAATCCGTTAAATACAAAATTATTTCTCTATATATATCACTTGCTAGTAGGTTTTATTTATATTTATCTTCAATTGAATATAAATTTTTTAATACAGTCTGTAATCGAAGTGAACAAGAAATGAATAAATAAACGTAATAAAAAAGAAAAAGAAAATCCGGAAAGTAGCTTTATTACCACGCTGTCGTTCAGGCCAAGGGACTAGAATCAGGGAAAAAGACCAAAAACCCTTGTTCTACACCGACAATAACAAAAGGAATCACGTATATCAGCGTAATTTTAGACAACATCATCGCAGTATTCTATTAAAGCCCAAAAGTCTCCGTCGCGTCTTCTTCCTTTTCCCTCCCCAATTTTAAACCTTCTCTTTCAGTGGAGTGGAAAAACCAAAAACGGTGCAAAAACAAAGGCCCCTTTCGAAAAAGAAAAAAATCTAAAACTGATAACGAAGCCAAGAAAAAGCAAAGAATTTAGCGGAAAATCAAGTGAGCCTCGGAGGATCTGAGCAAAAGATGATGAAACTTTTTGGTAGGGGGAAAGAGTCCTCCCCTAATGTGTCGCCGCAATCGTTCGGACACTCGGCGTCTCCGTCTTCGTCTTCGGAGTCTCCGGTGACCGGTCCCGCAAGACCGATTCGGTTGTTGTACTGCGACGAGAAAGGGAAGTTCCGGATGGATCCGGAAGCCGTCGCGGCTTTGCAGCTTGTTAAGGGGCCAATTGGAGTCGTTTCGGTCTGTGGCCGGGCTCGTCAGGGGAAAAGCTTCATTTTAAATCAGGTACTTTCATTTCTTTTGCCATTTTACTTATTTTGAAGACAATTTGGAATAAATTATGTTATTTTGGTGTATTGGTAGGTGAAATGAAGAAGACTAGGGTTTGTGACTTTAGGAGTAGAAAATGTTGTAACTTTAGGGTTTTTGAGGGCCCAAGTTTGTAAATTATGATTAATTGGAGGGCTTTTTGGTATACATTTGCGGTTTCTATAAGCCATAATTTGTTATATCTGTATTGGGAAATATCAGCATCCAGTGCATGTTAGTGGGGATAAGACTAATGAGGTTGAGTAATTATATGCTTTGGAGAAGAAAGAACATTGGCAGAGATAATTATAGTTTTGAGTTTATGACTTACAAGCAAGTATGAGTATTGAGAATTATATAATTGTTTAAGATGAACATATTCACTCTACGAATAGTAGTTGCATGTGAATATTATTTTGAAACTTATTCTTATTAACTGAACCTGATCAACTAAAGGATTTTCTTTTTGAGACACCAAGATTCGAATTGGATTAACTTTATCTTCTCTACTTTTACTATCAATCTTTTTAAAACTTTCGACTGGTGAGTTATCTGTGGTATCAAAGTTAATTGTTATGTACTTGTAAATGATTCCCCCCTATTGAAAACTTGTACGGAGATCTGTTCTATATCACCTCTTTGATGTATATTGTCTCTTTCACCTATGAGTGAGGGCTATGCTTTTATTTGTGTTGCAGCTTCTTGGAAGAAGTAGTGGGTTTCAAGTAGCATCAACTCATAGACCGTGTACAAAAGGGCTTTGGTTGTGGAGTGCACCATTAAAGAGAACTGCTCTTGATGGAACTGAGTACAATCTTTTGCTATTAGATACTGAAGGAATAGATGCCTACGATCAAACGGTTAGTTCACTTATTTTTTATGGGACTGGATTGGTTATGATTTGGTTTGGTTATTTTGATTGCTTGAGTTAATTATGCTCTTATTTTTCAAACTTGACAGGGAACATACAGCACTCAGATATTTTCCCTAGCTGTCCTCTTATCTAGTATGTTCATCTACAACCAGGTTTGTACTTTTTTTCTTCCCCACTTTGAACGAGAATTTCATTCTTTCAAGTGGCTTGTTAATAAGCTTTTTAAGCCATTCTTCCCAAGTTTTAACTTTATACTTCTGATATATAGATGGGAGGTATAGATGAAGCTGCCCTGGATCGTCTCTCTCTTGTCACTCAAATGACAAAACATATTCGAGTCAAAGCTGGAGGAAGAACGACAACAGCTTCTGAACTTGGGCAGTTCTCGCCAATATTTGTTTGGCTTCTTAGGGTAATATTTGGTTAGACATAGATACATATACATTCTGTCTTAGTAATGGTTGTCACCTGGTTGGTTCTTGAAAATGGATGTCATCAGCTTGCTATTGGTTGTAAAAATACTTTCTTCAGTTATCTTTTGTTAAATATTCATTCTCACTTGCAGGATTTTTATCTGGATTTGGTGGAGGATAATAGGAAAATCACTCCCCGTGACTACCTTGAGCTTGCTTTACGGCCAGTTCAAGGTAGTGGGAAAGATATAGCTGCCAAAAATGAGGTAATTCTTTACATAGATTTTAATTGGGGGAGTAAACGAAAGCAATATCAATTCTGTGGGGGCAAACTAATATGGAAAATTTGATGCTTTTTGAATAATTTTTATTTTCTGAAGTTAGATATCTATTCCTCTCTTTATAGATTTGAGGTTCATTTCTCCAATATTTATCATGAAGGATGTGAAGAACTGAAGTATTTGAATTATTCTTCTCTGTGTTAGAGGTACTGATTATGCATGGTTAATTATTGATAGATCCGAGACTCCATTCGAGCTCTATTTCCTGATAGAGAATGCTTTACCCTCGTGAGGCCTTTGAACAATGAAAATGATCTCCAAAGACTTCATCAAATTTCGGTTGGTTTCTAACAGTTTCTATATATGCTAGTCTCTCTCTTTCTATATCATCCTTTTTGTCTCCGCTCTCTCTCTCTCTCACCCTCCCTTTCAGACTCCTGACTGTGCCTTTTCTGTTTATCATGCATCATTTAAATACTAAGACCATAGTTCTCATATGCAGCTTGACAGACTGAGACCTGAATTTCGAGCTGGGCTTGATGCATTTACAAAGTTTGTTTTTGAGAGAACAAGGCCTAAGCAGGTTGGGGCTACTGTAATGACAGGTCCTGTTCTTATTGGTATCACTGAATCTTATCTGGATGCTTTGAATAATGGTGCAGTGCCCACAATATCTTCCTCATGGCAGGTTAGTTACTGTTGTCGAGAAATGCTACAGAATAAATCATTAAATGGAACCAAAAAGGGTCAAAAATGAAAAAAAAAAAA